GAACAACAAGAACAACAAGAACAAGAACAACAAGAACAAGAACAAGAACAACAACAACAACATAATCAACAACAACAACAACAAGAAAAACAGCAACAACAAGAACAACAACAAGAACAACAACGAGAACAACAGCAAGAACAAGAAGAACGGCAAGAACAAGAACAACAACAAGAACAAGAAGAAGAACAACAAGAACAACAACAATAACAACAACAAGAACAAGAACAAGACTTACGACAACAACAACGACAACCAACAACAACAACAACAAGAACAACGACAACAACAACAACAACCAACAACAACAACAATAACAACAACAAGAACAACAGCAAGAACAAGAAGAACAGCAAGAACAAGAACAACAGCAAGAACAAGAACAACAACAAGAGCAAGAACAACAGCAAGAACAAGAACAACAGCAAGAACAAGAACAACAGCAAGAACAAGAACAACAGCAAGAACAAGAACAACAGCAAGAACAACAACAACAAGAACAACAGCAAGAACAAGAACAAGAACAACAACAGCAAGAACAAGAACAACAACAAGAACAACAACAAGAACAAGAACAACAACAACAACAACAACAACAGTTGCGCTGACAGGAGATCATTGAGGCACCAAAAGTTTTCATAGGGATTTTGGAGCTTCGTTTTCGATCTTACCAAAGAACCAACTTCATCCCACTGACCAGCTGTCCAACACCACGACATTTGGACAGTTTCCTGAGATGGTGTGGATTTGCGTCTTCATTACGTGATCACGTCCCGCCGTCCCGCCTTCCATGATAGCTTCCGCTGGATCAAGGGGTTTCCAGACCCTGGTCACATTACATCCATCATTTCCATCATCCGATCATTGAGATGGCGACCCAAACATGGCGGCAAAAAATCGCTGGTTTTCAAACGCGCTTCTTCTGGCGCACCTCTAGAGCCTTTTCTCAAGCCTCGGCGTGTGGGTGATGTTTTTGAAGGTCAAATTGTTGGATCAACATGGGGAATGTGTGGGATCCGGATACCCCAACTTCTGGCCATTGAAAACAGGGGAGAAATGCGGTTTAAGCGATCAAAGTACTGTGCTGAAGTAATATGAGAAGCCCCAAACCAAAAACAATCACCTGCAATGGGTGGGATTTCAACCATCCCCCAATTTTTTTTGCTGCTTTGAGGTGAACTAACTCTGTAGTCAAAGACTGGACGTGGAAAGTGGGAGACTGCGAGTTGTTCTATTCAATCGTTTCTTTTTCCCTATCTATCGTTTCTCTTCGAGGAAACAAACTCAAGTGACCCAAAGAAATCTGAACAACCAACAGTTTCCTAATCCCTTGACGGCAAAGCAAATGGGCACCGCTTGTCATACAGGTATCCGTCTGTTTTTTTCACTCAAGTTTGGCTGCCCTGCTCGGGCGCTTGATTGGAGGATCCTGCAACAGATTTGTCTCCGAACTGCATGTGATTGTGCGGACAAGAAGAACACGTCATCTGCAGGTTTTGCTTCGAACATCTTCGAATCCATGATGCAAATATTGACCAGGCAGAATCTTCATGCGAAGGACAAGTGCATGTTGGAACTCCCACCCTGGCTGATCAACATGCAAAGGATCTCTACATTCAAACCTACCAAGGAACCACCACAAGATGGTTTTGGAGCATGATGTGTCTCTTGGAAATGCTGATTCTTGGGGTCTTATGCTGGTTTTTCACAAGCATCCACAACCCTCATCCACCACCGCTCCTCGGAAGTTCCCGTCATGGGTATCCCTCAGTACAGAACCCTTGCCACGGTTGTGTGAAAAGATCTACGGGGGTTGGCCCGATGCATTGAAGTCAGATTTCAACGCTGATCGACATCATGGGCCAATTTACAACTTCAGGGGCGGTGACCAATTCTGAGACTTTACGTTCCAGACTTCAGGCCATCTGGAAACAAAGTGCCACAAAGCCAGCCCTCAAATCACTGTCTTTCTGTCTTTCCTCCCACCCACTTTGAGGTTCCAGACCCTTGACAATTCTGCGCAGGGGTGTGTCACCCGAAAGAAAATTTTGCAGCTCTGGTGGACTCTTGTTGTTGGAGGGATTCTGGCTTTGCCCTGTTCATGTCATAGAAAGAGGCATGATACCATTGATACATATTGATACATATTGATACATATTGATACATATTGATACATATTGATACATATTGATACATATTGATACAATTTTCTTATCTAGTGACCACTGTTTGAATCCATCTTTGCTGTCCATGCTGTCCAAGAAGCTTTGAGCCCGGGCCAAGTCGGCAAGTTTCGACTGTGTTGAGACAACAAAGTGGGTAACCAACGTGGGTAGGAACCCTTCCAGTCCCAAATGCAAAATCCTCACAGATCGCTGTGGTCATCGCTTTTTAGCCCATGGGCACAGGCCCTCAGGATTTTCGGAGCTGAAGCAACCAGTGGGGCTGTTTCTTGCAAACCCACAGGGCAGTTTTTTGGGCATCTGAGTGGAATGCTAGTTGCCTTTCAATCTGTAGTCTATATATGTATGGGCCAATGGGTAATAGGTAATGAGGCATGTATGTATATACATATACATATAATATATATTTATACATTCATATTCAATGTGTGTATATATATATATTATACACAGATTATACACGCGTCTCTATACATTTTCTGGATGCTTTTGGATAATTCATCTGAAATTCAATCCCAAACATGACTTGAGGCCATTTTCTATGGTTCCCCTAGGATTGAGGATTATGCATGGTGAGCGTGGTTGAGGTCGTAACAAATTGATTGTCCAGATAATTACATTCCGCCAGCTACTTCAAGTGTCAACCACCATGGTCGCTCCAAGGGTCTATTGCCCCTTCGTATCACAAGGATGGCAGCCCATAAAAATTCAGCCGCCTTCCTCAGCCTTGTGACTGTATGGTGTCGACTTGGAATTGCCTCTAAATCCATCAATTGAATTTTTGCTGCAAAATAAACCAGTGCTTCACAAAAAGTTTCAAAGTCAAAACTTGCTGAAAAAATGAAAAGGAAAACGCCACGCTCAATCTTTCTAGATCTGAAGTCTTGGTTTAGCATTTCCAAATCTTGTGTTTGACTACCTCTCTCAGAATATTCCGGGTAGCCCCATGTCCTTGCCAGATACATGATGTGAACAGCTGAACGACTTTGCGAAGCAGCAACCAGTGGACCAGTGTCCTTGGAGGACAGCACGACAGCACCACCTCAACCAACACACTTGCAATACCTGACAGCTGAGCGTTGCTTCGACCAAACTGATCAGTGGAATCACTTGAAAGCCCATGAGCGTTTGTATATATATATACACATATGTAAATGTTAATACACATATATATATATACACATACATATGTATATGCTAGTATGTATATATATATAAATCTATCTATATCTATCTATCTCTATCGCTATACATCTAATCTATCTGTGTAATCTATGTAATCTACGTAATCTATGTAATCTATGTAATCCTTCCAATCTGCCTAATCTAATCTAGTCTAATTTAATCTAATCTATCTAATGTATCTAGTCTAATCTAATATATCTAGTCTAATCTAGTCTAATCTAGTCTAATCTAGTCAAATCGAATCGAATCTTATCTATCTATACATCTATCTATCTATCTATCTATCATTCTAACTATCTATCTATCTATCCATCTATCTATCTATCTATGTATCTATGTATCTATCTATCTATCTATCATTCTATCTATCTATCTATGAATCTATCTGTCTATCTATCAATCTATCAATCTATCAATCTATCTATCTGTCTATCTATCTAATTATCTAACCTATCTAATGTAATCTAATCTAGTCTAGTCTAATTTAGCTCTATAATAGATATATATATATATATGTATGTATGTATGTATGTATGCATGCATGCATGCATGGATGTATGGATGTATGTATATGTATGTACGCATGTATACACGCTTTTCCAAAAAACATGGACGTTCTTGGACGTTTCTTCTGTTTCTTGAAAACGGTCATCAAGAATCCAAGTGCCTTCAGAATCTGTAAGTACTGGTAACAGAAGTCACAGCACTGCGGAGCACTTGGTGGTGTAGTCCATCCAAGCTTTCCATGCATCAGCTGCTCCGGATCGCATGGCAAAGTTGCTCACCTCAGTGACACAGTGACTTCCTTGGAAGTTTCAACTCACAGTGGAACATATGGGGGTTTCAGTTTCAGTTTCAAATCAGTCATGGATCCCCCGGATTGCCATAGGCTCCAACCATGTCGATGAAACTCACGGCCTCAGGTTCCTGGTGGCACCCAATCATCATTGAACATTGATATTTCGTGAATCTATCCTCACTTTTCGGGGGGTTTGTAGCAATATATTTCTTGTAAAAAAAATCTACAATCATTCATCATTTTCTCCTATTTTTCAAAAGCCATCCATCCAGGGAAGGCCATTCCCTAACTCGTGCAGTGTAGAAGGCGCCTCTTCAACCCGGGCCTCCGGCAGCTTCGCCGCGCCTGAAATGATGAAACCACCACTTTTTCTGGGAAAGACAACAGTTTCGAACAGCATCAATCTCCCATAGCTTTTCAACAGGCACAGCGGCACCTGTATTGTGTACAGCAGGTTGAAACCCATAGGGCATGCAGGCGAACCGTGTTCGGCCCATCTTGGACGCCCTGTTTTCGAAAAAGTGACTAACGTCGAGAGAAAATCATTGCTGCAGCTGGAAAAGTGATGTCTTTGAGATGCTTTGATCATTATCCGCTTCCCATCTCATACGCCCAAGTTTCGAACTACGCCCTATTTTTGGGCTGTGAGCAAAAGTGGATTGCGGAATTGTGAGCAAAATAGCAGAAACATGTTGGCAAATCCAAACACCGGTTTGACATTGATGATTTTTTTGAGGCTAAAGATCTTTAGAGAAAGCTCTTGTGCTGTAAAGCGGATAAAATTTCCAATGCTTACTGAAATTCGCATCTCTTCTGGAAAGACACGCTCGCCT